GCCCAGGGAGGTGGTTGAGGCACCATCCCTGGAGGTGTTCAAAAGCCGGGTTGATGTAGTGCTGGGAGGTCTGGTTTAGTGATGATGCTCCTTGTTTGTTGTGTGGGTGTCTATTTTTGTCAGTTAGGTTGATGGTTGGACAAGATGATCTTTAAGGTCCCTTCCAACCTAGAAGATTCTGTGATTCTGTGATTCTGTGAGCGCGCCGGGGGCCCCCCGAGCCAGAGGAGGGGGAAGGTGCCTGTTTTACCCCGTGGTGGCCGAGCCAAGCGGGGTCCTGCCCCGTGGCACGGTGTGACCGAGCCGCTCGGTCGGCGCGGAGCGAGGCGTCCCGTGGAGCAGCAGCTGCGGAGCAGAGGGGGGGCTGGATTTACTGCTGCTGGTGTCAGTGAAGCTCCAAGCAGTTTCCGTGCTGGAAGAGCTGCCCAGACACACACCCCGCAGCACGTTCATTGCTCAGGGGGAGAGGAGTTGCTCCCCTGCTGCTTCGGAGCAGGAGCTCGGTGCTGGCTGGGTCAGGGCTGTGTGAGGAGCAGGAGCAGGGTGTGCTCAGGGGGAGAGGAGTCGCTCCCCCGCTGCTTCGGAGCAGGAGCTCGGAGCTGGCTGGGTCAGGGCTGGGTGAGGAGCAGGAGCAGGGGCTCAGAAAAGCCCCTCTCCCTTTGCAGACCCATCTCTCCATCACCCCTCTTTGCTCCAGCGCTTTGGTCACTCTCACCCTTTATTTCCAGCCGGGCAAAAGCCGGCCGGGGGGCTCGGCTGCCCCCAGAGACACCGATGTCATGGGCACGAGGATGTCCTTCCCGGGCACGGGGACAGGCTGGGGACCAGCTGGAGAAACAGAGGCCACCCGGGCTGTGGGGTGCAGCAGGGGAAAAACAACTTTTCCCACAGAGCTCTCATCGAGGGCCCCCGGGTTGTAGTTTGCCACCCGGGGCTTCTCTCCCTGACGCTCTTCTGCCTCTCCCCCTCCAGAGATGATTTACAGACACATGGCCGTCATCGACGGGGAGATGGTGCACTTCGAGATCCTGGACACGGCGGGGCAGGTGAGCTCACGGCTGATCTCCCCGGAGTCACCATCGGGGGACAGTGACTTGTATTGAAGGCAATCCCTGATTTTCCACCAGCTTCCGTCTGTTGTATCCAGAATATGGATCATGACATGTTTATCTCGGAATAAGGGTGTTTTGGAGATTGTGTGTCTCTAACATCGATTACAGCGTGGCTTCAGCTAAATATTCCCCACTGCCCTGTGTGGCACAGCCTGCTCCTGCTCCAGGGGAGCATCCTGATGGCAGGGGACAACTCAAGGGAGCGGGAGGGAGTTGGGTCGAAGGGGCCAACACCACCTGGATCCACCACAGGAGCCCTGTGATGGATCCCCTTCTGGCAACAGCGCTGCCTCCGCACACCCTCCCCTCGTCCCCATCAGGATGGGGCTGATCTCTCTCTCTCCATCCCTCGTTCTGCCTGACCCATCGAATTCCTGCCCTGGGCTGCCCGCCTTGCTCTGCTCCTCTGTGCAAACCAAGGGCTACAACCTCCAGGGAGATGGCACGGCCCCCCCTTGGGAGGTTCTCTAGGTTGCACCCAGAGGTGTTGGCATTTAGGAGCTGTTGGGGCTTCTGGTGTTGACAGGAGTTTGTCTGTCCCGGCAGGAGGAGGATTCCCTGCAGATAGAGGAGAAGATCAAGTGGGGCGATGGCTTCGCCGTGGTCTACTCGGTGACGGACAGATGCAGCTTCGACGAGGTGATGCGGCTCTGCTTCCTCATCAACCACATTCACTCCAGCCCCAAGCGCAGCAGCGGGAGCGAGCAGCCCCCCGTGGTCATCGTGGCCAACAAGAAGGACTTGGAGTTCGACAGGATGGTGTCCACGGAGGACGGCGAGAACCTCTCCAAAGCCTTGAAGCTTCCTTTCTACGAGATCTCCACCCGGGACAGCTATGAAGAGACCGTGGCGGTGTTCAACAGCCTCTACCAGGAGCTCATGAGACAGGGGCATTTCTCCCCAGGCTCCTTCAAGAGGAGGACAGTGTCAAAGCTGATGGAGAAGATCCCCAAGATGCAAGCCAGCTCCACCTTGAACTCAGCGGGCCGGAGCCTCAGCTTTAACTCCTTCAGGGACTACATCCCCGAGTGAGCGTCCCCACCGTGGGGGCGAGTGACAGAGGGACAGGTCATCCTGCTGCCAGGGCGCCCGCGCATCAGCCCCAGGGTGGAGGAGCAGCTCCTGGGGCTGTGCTGGCTCCCAGAGGGAAGGCTGAGAGGTGGGGAGGGTAGGATTGGGGTCCATCAGCCTTTTAAAGCCCAGAGGCTTCCACAAATGGGTTTTGGGTGGGCAGGGGAGATGTTCTTTGTCCATCTTACCCCTTCGCCCCCTCTTCCTCCTCCTGCACGGCTGAAGCCAGTAGTGAAGGTGGGTCGTGGTGACTTCAGGGGTGTTGGGTCAACCCCTGGGGGCTCAGAAGTGTCTCAGCAGGGATCGGACCCAGCAGAGACACATCTGTGTGGGTTTTCCTGCTCCCCTAAGAAAGCTTGCTGGGTCTGTTTGTCCCCGAGACAGGCACCCACACGCCAGGGAGACCCCGAGGGTGGCGCTGGCTCCGGGGCTGTCACCAGCCAGCCCCATCCTGGTGAAAATGGGCATTGCTTTTGTTGCTGGTGGGTAAAATCCCCTCCAAACCTCCCCAGCCTGGTCAGCTGCTCCAAGGGGGTGGTTGCTGCCCACCTCCATCCCTTGGTGCCCCCAGACCCACCTGCCGTGTGGGTCAGTGGGTGACAGAGGGCTGTGTCCCCCTCTGCCTCTGCTGTGGCCCCCCCCAAAGAGCCAGTCCAGCCTGTTCCCCCATCTGCAGCCACCAGCATCCATCTGTCGGAGCCCGGGGCTGCATTTCGTCCCAGTTTCCCCCACCTTTGTGAGCTGAAGCGGCTGCAGAGGGGCAGACCCCTGCAGACCCCCATATCCCGCCCCCCCAGAGCCCTTTTTCCCCCCCCTGGCTGCTCATGGGCTGGCACCAGGGGCATGTTTAAAAGCAAAACGCAGATCTGTTTACAGCACAGGGGGAAAAAAAGCCTATTGATCCCTGCCTTTTCTGAAACCCCATTTTTTAACGTTTCAGGCTCCTTGGCACACTCTCCTCTAAGGACACTGCAGATAAAACCCCAGGCAAAGGGCAGTGATGGCAGCAGATGCTGCTGCCCCAGCTCGGGGTGAGGGCACCGCCTGCTCCCTGCTTTGCTGGGGCTTTTCTGCCTCCCCTGAGTCTGCCCCTTATTTCGTGTCTCCATCTGGGCTGGGGCAGCATCCCCTTCTCCGGGGGGAGGGAAATCCAACAGGTTGCCTTTCTGTTGCTCATGGACACCTTCTGCTAAGATCAGGCCTTTGCATCCCGGAGGAACAGGATTCCCGGGGCAGCCCCTCCCCTTAAAGCCTTTGCCCCGGGACCCAGCTGAGCATGGGGCCAGCAAAACCCCTGGCTGGCAACTTGAAGCACGGATGCCACGGAGCCGATACCGGGAGGTGCAAATGATGCTCCTTGCGGGGACACCCCCCTTGTCTGCTTATTAATTGCCCCATTCCCAAGGGGAAGACCACGGTGGCCTGAGAATTAGTCTTTTTGCGTGGGGCCGGGGCAGCAGAGGCGCAGGCAGGAGCCGGGATCGCAGCGAGAGCATCTTCCCCCCCACAGCATCGTCCTCTCCCTCCCTCCCGCCTGCTGCCGCTTGAGGTGACTGCGCTGGAAGACCCGTGGTGTGACACCCCGTGTGTCCCCTGTAGTGGTGAAACACCCCGTGTGTCCCCCTGTAGTGGTGAAACACCCCGTGTCCCCCCTGTAGCGACATGTCCGTGGTCGTCTGCTGCCTCCTGTGACAATAAACACCAATTAACAGCCGCCTGTGACGCTCTGGTGCCTGCGGGGACGGGGTTATTCTGTCCCACTGCTTCCCTTCCAGGGACACTGCAGCAAAGGGGGTGCATGGGGGGGGGGGGGGGAACGGCTTTTAATTTGGGGCCAGAAATCTCCCTTACCTTCTGTCCCA